GACTCGTTTCCTCCAACCAACTCGCACGAAGCAATGCACAGAGTTGGAGCGAAACATTTCCCACAAGCTTGAAGAGTGTACCTTTGCCTCGTGAAGTATCGGTGGTATATTTTGTGACGAAAACACTGCTTCATCTAGTGCCTTGTTGATTTGGTTTACCTTCGTGGCCCTGTATTCTACAAAGTTGAATTCGAGTGAAAGGTTTTGTTGGGAGTTTGCCGTTAGATTCCGATGGCCTGAAAATGGTGTGATTGTGGCAAATCTGGTGCAATTGGGGGTGGAGATGCGATTCGATGGGAATTGCACTTGGCTAAGTGCAAATCTAGCCAAATCGCACCCAGCCAAGGGGTGGAGGATTCTAGTGTTAAGGGGCGAATAAGAAAGGTAAAAGGGTTTGATTTAGGTTTTTTTTTTTTTTTTTTTCCTAAGTTTATATAGGAAAATGACATAAGCACCCTTTGATTATTTTTTGAATTTACCATTTTTTCATTCTTCGGTTAAAGTTTAACCATGGGTGGTAGGGGTGTGCAAAAGAACCGGTCGAAACCGGAATCAGTGGGCACCCAAGTTTCGGTTCTAGTTCCTACTTGAAATCGACTCTCATAGGGTAGGTTTTGGTTCTAGAAATCAGGAAACGGTACTTTCCGAGTCTGTGACTAAATGAATGTAAGCAAAATATAGGGACCATTGTAAAATTCATTTGTTTAGTTATTTTAAGTAGTATTTTTGAAACATTACTATAAAGTTTAGTTGGGTTATTATTTAGAGAATGAGATTTGAAAAAAATGTGTTTGGTAGAGTATTTAGTTGGGTTATTATTACGAGAATATAATTTGATGTTTGGTAAAGTATTTAGGATAGTATATTAAAGTTTAATAAATTGTAGAAAAATTGTTTGGTATATTTTTTTTATAAAGGATTTATTGATAGAATTCTTTGCGGGGGAGAGGGGGTGATCGTGGTCGTACCTGCTGGCCTCAGTTTGTCAAAGAAAACCGAAAGATGGCAGTGTTTCTTGAGTCTTAAGCATCGGAGGAAGGTGTTTTGGGGTGGTGTTTTTGAATGCAGGTGGAAGAGAGTGCTATGGTGGTTGTAACGTGGAAGAGGGTGGCAGTTTATGTTGTAATTTTTGAAGAAGAAATGTGGAAGAGGGTGGCGATCGCTGGTTCTGATCTTTGAAGAAGAAGGTGGAAGCTATAGATAAACAGAAGAAGGAAAGAAAAGAAGAAAGAAGGGAAAAAAAAAAAAAAGTAATCTACAACGCTACCTAAATCAAATTAGTTAGGAACTGAAAAATGTGCCAAACGCGTATTTTAAAAATTTGACTAAAAAAATTAATAGAATACTGAACCAAACACGTCCTAAAGTTTTTCCTAATTTCTTCTTGAATTTTGTCTTGTTTTTTTGTTTTTATTCACAGCTGAATTTAATTGATGTCCTTACCTTATTATTAAAATTAATTCACCACAAATAACCTTTATTTCTTAATAAAAACAACTTTATTTTTCTATTCATTTTCTTCTCACCTATACTGAACACAGCAACAAAAACCAATTTTTTTTTAATAAAAATAACTCTATTTTTTCCTTTCATTTTCTTCTCATCGATATTGAATACAAAAAAAATAAAAATAAAATAACAATGAAATCCAAGTCCAACAAATTTCACCATTTACCATTAATATTAAGTTATTAACTAAAACCCAAATTTTCATTATTCATACAAAAAATCAATTTGACATAAAAAATCTTCATTATTCATACAAAATATCAACAAAGCATTAAAAAAAAAAAACCAACTTGGCTAGACGTTCAAATTCTTCCTGCTATTTTTTAAAATTCGACACAAATCCTCTTTTAATAAATGCGAAAAAGGAGAAGGAGAAGAAGAAGATAAGAGATCTACAATAGGGCGTTCTTCGTTTTCTCTTGCCTAGGGTTTTGTGGGAGGAAGAACAAGATAAGAAAAGAGAGGAGAGAACTTGGCTTGCTTTGTTCGAAGATGATGGGAACAGAGAGATAGACGTAACTTTTAGGCAATGTTCTGAAACCCCGGACCGGATTGGGCGGTCAAACCAGTCCTACCGGGTTTCGCTGGGATTTCCGGTTTCAAAAGAGTAAAAACCCGGGTTTTTGAGTTAGACCATTTCAAACCATTGTTGGACCGTCTTACTGTAGCAATCCGACGATCCAACCAGTATAAGAAACAAATCCAGTCCATTGAGTAAAATTTAAAAATGTGAAAAAAATTAAAAAAGTTAAAGTCAAATGGTCAAACCCTCAATTTTTTTATTCCATTTTCTATTTGCCTTTGCAGATTAGCTGTCTGCCACTTTGCTAAATTGAAATTTCCGTTTGCTTTTTTATTTGCTTTTTCAGTTTTCTTTTTGGTTTACCTTTGCCATTTGCGATCTCCACTCTCCAGTCCAGTCCTCCTCCTCCATTCGTGATCTCGGATCTCCTTCAAGCTTCAGCTTCAGCCTTCAAGTCTTCACTCTTCAAGTCTTCAACCTCTTCAATCATCGCGATCTCCTCCTCTTCAATCAACCTCTTCAGGCTCCAGTCCAGTCCTCCTTCATTCGCGATTTCCTTCAAGCTTCAGCTTCAGCCTTCAAGTCTTCAACCTCTTCAATCATCGCTGGTCTACTACTCTACTTCTTCCTTGTTGTGGCTAGTCTGCTACACTACAGTCGTGATATTACTTTGTAATGCTTTTAATGATGTTTGAAACTTTAGACTTTGAGGATTGAATTTGTAAACATTAAGTCATTAACTATCAAACTTTGATGGTTTTATTATTATTGTAGGGTTGGTTTGATGGTTTTTAGATTTTAGTTACATAAAAAATCTAGATTTTTAAAATTTTTTACTTTTTTTCATTTTTTGCTAACATCAACATGATGACGTCACCGATCCGACTGACCGGTCCAACCGTGAAAACTGAAAACTAGGCCTCTGGCCGAGTCGACTCTCGGTCCGGTTTTCAGAACATTGCTTTTAGGGCTACCTTGACTAGGATTTTGTGTGGGGAAGAAGAAGATAAGAGAAGAAATGAGAGAACTTGACTTATTTTGTTTGCAAGTGCTTAGGGTTTTAGCTTATAAAAAAGTTTTTTCAAAGTGATTGATATTAGGAGATCACACAGTGAAAAAGGTACATTCGAAATGAATAACATAAGAATAAAATTACACCACATGAAAAGACATGATATTTACGTGGCTCGGCATAACCCGCCTACATCCACAAATGAAATAAATCCATTATAGTTTCATGAACACAATAAACAAGAGTACACAACATTATAAACCCGATACATAAAACTGAGTGAAAATAAATCTAGTTTCTAACCACGCTCAACCTAGTACTTAGAGTGAAAATGATCTCAGTTTCTAAGACACTCTCCCCATAGTGTTTAATAACTCTTACATCAAATAACCCGTGTTTTCACATTCTCTTATAACCTTGAATTGGTTCTTACCCCTATATTTATAGGTAGTATATGAGATATTATATTTTTAATAGGATTCATATTTGAATTCCTAATTGGACTCTCATAATTTTATTCCTATTTATAATTATATTCTTTACTAAAAAGTTTTCCTAAAGATATACAATTTTACATGAAAACAAATAGGAAAACGAGCCACAATATCCCAACAATTGGTATATGACTTAAATCCAATGGTCAAAATTTGTTGTAAGATGAGGGTGTATTTGTAGCTTTTTAAGGGTTTATTTATCATTTTTTAAACAAATAGGGAATTTTTCAGGACCTTAGAACCGGAACCTATTTTACAGGTTCCATTTTTCAAAAACTGGCTGATTCCGGCTCCTTTAAAAAAGGGCGGGTACCAGAACCCACCCACCGCTGGTGGGTTGATGGGAGAGTGTTGTTTTGAAACTTTTTCAGGTGGGAAAGTGTCTTTAGGTAAAACCTTGGGTGGGAAAATGTCATTTACTCTTTTTAAAAATATTAAAATAATTTCCTAAAGAGATGCAGAAACAAAGTTCAATCCAATCTTCATAACTACAGAAGCTATTATCCTTTGAAATTCAAAGTTGGACCACAAATAGGACTGTAAAAGAATGAAGTCGAGTCGAGTTTTGTCCTAAACGAGCCTCACTCGGTGAACATTTTGGCGACCTCCAGTCGAGTCTAGAGCTTGACGAACCAGGGAAAATGGGCTCGAGACTTGGCTCGTTTTTAACACGAGCTAGCTTGTGTGAAATCGAGCTATGGCTCGAAATTCAGTACCTAAACATGCCTGGAGGAAGTCAGTGGGATGTATGTGAGAGTGGCTTGGGCAATTTATCAAGCAGGTGGTGGGCAAAGTGAAAATGCCGAATTCCATCAGCAAGAAATTCAATCGGCAAATACATTTCACTCCAAAACAAAAACAACAACACTTCCAAATCAAAACTCCAAATAACAACTTCGACAAACCAATTTCACTCCAAAACATTTCTCCAATCAAACAGCAATCTCCCGACCAACACATAAAGCAATAGTCATGGCGAAAACCCGTAAAATTTTTGAAGTGGATTCTGAAAGTCTTTGCAGATTGGGGCAAAAGGCGTCGTCTTCGGCCAAGGAGACGGAGAGAAGAGGCGGTGGTCGACGGAAAAACAGTCGGCTGAAGCGGTGGTCGACGGAAATCAGGGCTGTCCAATTTAGGGGTTAGGGTTTTTTTCTCTGAAATGGGTTTTGCGCGAACGTTGAACATCTGATTTGAATTTTCGATTAATTGGGAACTGGGGACAATTGTATTTTTACAAAGTTTTGCATGTCAATTTCCATAACACCCCTAATACTTGTAAATATCCGCCTAAAACCCAATCGAACTCGACTCATTGCTCATTGCGAATGGCTCACGAGCCAGCTCCGAGCCTCACAAATATTTATACGTTAGATAATTATTTTTAAGTTTTAAATTAAGAAGTTTCTATGTAATTATTATGTCCAATCTTCAAAATCTGAATGAATTTTTTTTCCACAAATGCGTGACCCACCAAGAATTGTGAAAGGGAAAGCAAAAGGTCATTTCAATCTTTAATAATTTAATGGTTCACTTTCCCAAAAGTAAACACCTTCTTGAAGAAGTTTGCAGGATAGAGACATCTCTCTTCTTGATAAGTATATGCATAAGTGGGAGGATCAACCTGAAGTAAACAAGACTGCTCAGCCTTTGAAATCCCTTGTAAGTAAGACGAGTTCTGATTATATGAATTGTTAGTTTTCTATCCATTGATGATGATGATTATTATTTATTTAATCATTTTTATTTTATGTGTTCCTCATTTTGATGACTGGGAAACCTGAAGAAGTTTAGACAATTTAGAATCTGGAAAATTGATGTTGACTGTTCAAGTGACTGTTTATTTCTATTAGGATCGCAATGGTTGCAGGACACAAGCGACATTCAAAGCATTGGGAGAGGTCATCCCCAGCTCAAAGGCAGCTTGATCCTCGGTTCAATAGACTTTCAATTAAATCGAAAAGGCCCTCCTCAACTCGAAGGGATTTTGTTCCTCAGTACAATAGACATTCCGATGATTCAGAGTGGCCATCCCCAGCTCCAAACAATGGACATTTTTTGTGGAGATCGCCGAGACATTATGTACAAAGTATTAATGTCGTCATGGCTGCAAGACACAAGCGACATTCAAAGCATTGGGAGAGGTCATTCCCAGCTCAAAGGCAGCTTGATCCTCGGTTCAATGGACTTCCAATTAAATCGAAAAGGCCCTCCTCAACTCGAAGGGAATTTGTTCATCAGTACAATAGACATTCCGATGATTCAGAGTGGCCCTCCCCAGCTCCAAACAATAGACATTTTTTGTGGAGATCGCCGAGACATGATGTACAAAGTATTAATGTCGTCATGGCTGCAAGACACAAGCGACATTCAAAGCATTGGGAGAGGTCATCCCCAGCTCAAAGGCAGCTTGATCCTCGGTTCAATGGACTTTCAATTAAATCAGAAAGGCCTTCCTCAACTCGAAGGGAATTCGTTCCTCAGTATAGACATTCCGATGATTCAGAGAGGCCATCCCCAGTTCCAAACAATAGACATTTTATGTGGAGATTGCCGAGACATAATGTACAAAGTACTAGGAGTATTGCATACCCAGAACGCGCAGTTTTTAAATGGCTTCCAACAGGTTTGGAAAATGATAATCATTTTCCTTCTTCTGTGTGTCTTAAGCAGATTTCTTTAGAACCCACAAAGAAAACTGGACAAAATCCCTCCTTAGTTTTAGTGAACAGTCGTCTGGGTAAAGGTTAGTGGTATGCCCTTTTTGGTATTACACTTAAAATCTTGTATTCAGCTAACTAAATATTTATTTATTTTTATCTTTTTGGTTCTTAGATAAGGATGAAGAGGGAAGGAATGTATCCGGAAGACCGTGGGAATCTGTAGCAGAAAATGTATGGCCAGATTTGCTGTCTTGTTTAGAAAATGTGAGGAAGAAAATGAAGTGTCAAGACCTGGAGGAAGTCTATCCAAAATTTGTTGCTAGATTTGGCAAAAATATTTTTCATGGGTATGTTTTCCAGTTTTCTCTGAACAGCTAGCTTTTTTTTCCCTTAAAAATTCTTGTTATAGTCACCACAAAATAATTGGGGGATATTTCTTAATTCTTAGCAATATGTTGAAAACTGAGGGAAGGAAAAATCACTCTGTATGTGCTAGTTGTACTTCTCTAACAGCCAATTATCAGATAATCAAAATGGAAATGGTTGCTTACTTTTTAGCAGTTCAGACTTGGAAAATAAACAATTAATAAGCGATACCTTACGGTATTAGCACTCATTAATTTCCACCTGATGCAACGTGAGCAAAGTCATAGAAAATATCAAAATTCTTACTTTACAGTGCCTAGTAGAATGCTTATGCCAGTTAGTGATAGAATCCTTAATGGACTAGATGTATTGGATAATGGTGCCCACGTTTAGTTAGATCTCATAAAAGCTTTCATTCAAATTAAGAATTGGTATTTGATCTGTATAGGCACATTCCTAGCCTATTGCTGGAAACAAAATAATCCATTGCCATGCCTGATTATTTCTTGATTGACCATTTACATACATTTCTTTGACACCAGAAGTTCCCATTTCCCTACTACCCATATCTTACTGTATAAATATGTTTGGTCTGCTATTACATCTAATAGTAGTTTTCAAAATTTAAAGCAAGCATCTGCCAGTAATAGTTGTAATTAAAAGTCGGCCAAGTGGCAACTATCATGTTAATCTTCTTGATTCAGGAATGCTTCAAGGTGGTTCGACAATGTCAGAAAAGGTCAGCTTCCTGAGACAACTTTGGGAAAATTGACTAAATCATTTAACACAAATGTTTCAACTTCATACACGGAAAAAATTATAAGGGAAGCTGTGCCAAAAATTGGAGTTGGTTTTGATGATAAGAAGGATATATACCATGTCAGGGTAATCAACTTTTCTGAGCTCAATATATCAAGCTTCTTGTACTTTTGGTTTAGTTAAATACTGACTTAACAACCTTTTTCCTTTTGCAGTTATCTGACAGCACACAAAAAGACTCAATTATATCATGCAAATGTACTTTAAACAATGATAAAAAGCTTGTGCTCTATAAGGCAAGCTATATGCTTCTAACTTATTCTACAATCAAATATTTGTGTGCTGTTACAGATGGAGATGAAACAACTCATGAATTCAGTAACTAGGGTTATTTCGTAATCACAGGTGTTTTTTCTTCTTGTATAGGGAATTTCATATTAAATTATAAGTGTTTCTTCCTGTAGTCAAACTAATTCACCACTTCTTCACATGGTCGTAACCGTATCATGCCTTGATAAAGATGTTGATTTAAGGCTGTGCTTAGCGGCAAGAGTCTTAACAGCATTGACTGTAAGTTATCTACAACCATGCACTTAAAATGCTTCAGTTTGACCGATTTAGCATCACCTTGCTATTTGTTTATTTTTCTTTTTACTTTTGATCTTAGTCATACATGTCTTTTTCTAGTCAGAACTTAAGTAAAAGCATTTAGTTTAAAAAAGATGAAAATGAGAAAGGAATATTGTGTTTTCATGCTTTTAGATCGGATCAGATGTTCTCTATCAAAACAGTTTTTCTGAAAACGAATACATTAAAATATTGTTTGGTAGATATTGAATTTCTGTAGATGCATTTTGAAAAACTGTTCAATAAATTTTACAACCATTAACCAAATGTATATTAATTTTGAAATATTATACACTTTTCATACATAAAACACATTAATATAATAATCTTAAATTTATATCACAATTGGTCAAATTTACTTTAACTATGACAAACCATGTTCCTATTGATTGAAATTGTGGAAAACATCCAGATTTTGTTCGGTCAAGTGTTCCAAATGCTCCTATATTAGCAGTTTTCCAACTTGTAGACTTAAAATGGTTAACGCTGTGCATTGAGATTTTTGCTTCTATTCCCACTTGTTGAAATGTAAAATAGGAAATAGAATTATTCTCTCTGTAATATAGGAAATAAAATTATTCTCTTGTAATATGGAAATAGAATTATAATAGGAATAGGAAATAGAATTATAATAGGAGTGTAACAATTACTCGTAGATTAGTTTTTTATTTTTGCTATAAATTCATTGTACATTTCATTATGAATATACAAGAAATATTTTCTCCATCGGGTATCAGAGCCAAGTGTCTGAAATTTCAAATTTTTTTCTTCTCTCTTCTCGGAATTTTTTTTCCGGCGACTGTTCTCTGGCAACGATCAGAATCTGGTCTAGTCACACTAGACTGATCGTCTCCCTCGTCATCATAACCCGAGTGATTTCGTCGCCGGCCGCCGCTACACGCGCCGCTCGTTTTTCCGGCAAGTGTTTTGTTTTTTCCGGCGAGTATTCTGTTTTTTCCGGTGCACATAAGTTTTTGCTTTTCTGTCAGCTTCAAGACCTCTGACCTTCTCATGGATTCCTCAAAATCAGCCTCTCAGTCACATACAAGTGGTTTTTCTTTCCCTCCATCACCACTGAACGACCTACCCAGGTGCTAATATTGCCAGTTGATCACTCTGATCTTCATTCTGAGTCCTCTACAGTGCCATCTCAGCCCTCCTTAACTCTCACAGGTACTGATTATGATGAATACTTACAGTATCAGCCAGTAACAATCTTCTTCATCTATGCCTCCGTCGCTCAAACAGTAATTCAATGCTTGCCTTCTCAGTCTTCCGCTTTAGAACCTTGGGTCCTAGATTCAGGTGCCTCGGATCATATTTCTGGTAACCCTCGTTTACTTACTCAGATTAACAAATAATGTATCTTTACCTCCTGTTACTTTAGCCAGTGTTCTAAAGCCATGTTCAGCTATTGGATGTGCAAAACCCCTCCCCTCCTTAGCATTAGACTCTGTGCTTTATATTCCCAATGTCCTTTAATCTCGTGTCTGTTATAACTTACCCGCTCCTTAAATTGCTCTATTCGTTTGATACTGACCTGTTGTATACAGGATCGCGACACGGGAGCGATGATTGCACAGGACGTGAGTCACAGGTTCTCTTCATCTCCATACCCATCTACAGCATGCATTGGTCTCCGAGTCTCCAGATCTCCTTCATAGTCGTTTGGGCCATCCTAGTCTTTCCAAACTTCGGAAAATGATCCCAGGTCTATCTACATTATCATCCTTGTTGTGATCGTGTCAGCTTGGAAAGCATACTCTAGTTTCTTTTCCAAAGCGTGGTCAATAAACGGCTGCGTCCCCCTTTGAGTTAGTGCATTCAGATGTGTGGGGTCCTTGTCGTGTTAACTCTACTTTGGGATTTAAATATTTTGTTACATTTATTGATGACTATTCCCGTTGCACTTGGTTATTTCTTATGCGCTCTCGTTCTGATTATTTTCCATATTTTCATCATTTGTGCTGAAATTAAGACATCAACCAATACTACCATTCGTATATTACGAAGTGATAATGCTCGTGAATATCCTCTGATTCCTTTACTAAATTCATGACATCTCAGGGAATTCTTCATCATGCTCTTCTTGTGCTTATCCCCACAAAATGGCATTGCTGAGCGTAAAAAATAGACACCTCATTGAAACTGCTCGCACTCTTCTTTTACATAGCCACGTCCCTTCCGGTTTTGGACTGACGCGGTTCTAACCGCCTGTTACTTAATAAATCGCATGCCTTTCTCTGTCTTACAAGATCAGGTTCCCCACTCCATATTATCCCTGATACTCCATTATTTTCTCTTCCCCGCGTGTCTTTGGGAGCACCTGTTTTGTTCCACATTTCCCTCCGGTCAGGATAAACTGTCAGCCAAGTCTACGAATATTTTCTTAGGTATCACGTCTTCAGAAGGGCTACAGTGTTATTCTCCCGCCACACATCGCTACTTCATCTCTGCTCATTTTACGTTCTTTGTCTTCTCTTCCCATTTTTTCCTCATCCTCTAGTGGAGTCTGATCCGGTAGTGGATGTTCTACCAATTCCATCGTTGCTTTCCCCGCATATCTTCGGTTTCGATACCTCAGTCTACCTACTAATACCACTCTTCCTGTCGACAATATCTGTTCCTTTTATAGGTGATCCTGATGTTCCCGCTGCCGTTCCTGAGATCCCTGTTACTGCAGTCCTGTGCCCGTTCCTCCAATGCCACGTCTTGTCTCCAGCTGATCAGTTTCCCATTGTATTCGAAAGGTATGCGGTCTACACGCAACCCTCATCCCATCTACAATTTTTGAGTTATCATCGTTAAATCCTTCATATTATGCCTTTGTCTCCACCCTTCTTCTGTTTTTGTTCCTAGCATGTTCATGAGGCACTTTCTCACCTCGGGTGGCGTCCGAATGGTTGAAGAAATGTCTGATTTGCATCATAATCTACTTGGGAGTTAGTTTCCTCCTTCGGGCCATTCGACTGTTGGTTCGATGGATTTACACTGTCAAGGTTGGTCCAGATGGTAAGGTGGATCGGCTGAAAGCCCGTTTGGTGGCCAAGGGATACACTCAGATCTATGGGACAGATTATTTTGACACTTTTTCCTCCTGTTGCTAAGATGTCTTCCGTCCGGTTGTTCTTGCTATGGCTGCCATTCGGAATTGGCCTATGCATCAATTGGATATTAAGAATGCTTTTCTTCATAGTGAACTTCAGGAAGTATATTTATGGAGCAACCTCCTGGTTTTGTTGCTCAGGGGAGTCTGGTTTGGTATGTAAACTTCGTCGTTCTCTATATGGTCTAAAACAGTCCCTCGTGCTTGGTTTGGACAATTTGTTAGCACGGTATCCAAGAGTTTGGTATGATTCGATGTGAGTTGATCACTCTGTTTTCTATAGACATACATCATCAGGGCAGTGTACCTATCTGGGTTGTCTATGTCGATGATATTGTTATTACAGGAAGTGATCAGATGGCATTGAACAGTTGAAGCACACTTGTTCAACACTTTCAGACGAAAGACTTAGGGCTACTCAGATACTTCTTGGCATGAAGCGCTCAGTCTAATCTGGTATTGTTATTTCTCGAGGAGTATGTACTGGATATTCAGAGGAAACAGGATGTCAGATTGCAGACCAATAGACTCTCCTTGGATCCTAATTTAAAACTTTCACGTGGACAGGGGACCCTTACTGATCCTGCAAGGTATCGAAGACTTGTTGAAAACTAACTATCTTACTATCACACGACCGGATATTTCCTTTTCTGTCAGTGTTGTGAGTCAGTTTCTTCAAACTCCGTGTGATAGTCATTGGGATGCAGTTGTTCGGATTTTGAGGTATATCAAGGGAGCACCAGGTAGGCGTTAACTGTATGAAAATAAGGGCCATTCGCATATTGTCGGATATTCAGATGCTGATTGGGCAGTTCTCCATCTGATAGACGTTCTACCTCAGGATTTTGTGTTCTTGTTGGAGGAAACCTAGTTTCATGAAAAGTAAGAACAGCAGTTGTTGCAAGGTCAAGTGCTGAAGCAAAGTACGTGCAATGGCCTTAGCCACTTGTGACTGGTTTGGTTAAACAACTAATTCAAGAGTTGAGATTTGTCGAAGTATCACAAATGAAGTTACCTGTGATAATCAGGCTGCCCTTCATATTGCTTCAAATCCAGTGTTTCTGAAGAGGACTAACACATAGAAGTGATTGTCACTTTGTTCGAGAGAAAGTTCTATCAGGGTGTATTGCAACTAGTTATGTCAATCCCAACGACCAGTTAGCAGACATCCTCACTAATCTCTCAAGGTTCTCGTGTTGACTTTATTTGTAACAAGCTTGGTGCATATGACTTATTGCTCCAGCTTGAGGGGGAGTGTTGAAATGTAAAATAGGAAATATGATTATTCTCTCTGTAATATAGAAATAGAATTATTCTCTTTGTAATATAGGAAATAGAATATAATAGGAATAGGAAATAGAATTATAATGTTGTAACAATTACTTCCTAGATTTTTTTTTTATTTTTGCTATAAATTCATGTAACATTTCATTAGAATATACAAGAAAATATTTCTCCACACACTTTTAGTGGAGAAATTTGTATTTATTGCATATTTTTTAACACTAATATAATCTGTAAAGCCAAAAATAATAGTGGTTTAACATGCATTTTTTCATATCT